CATCTCCAATGTGGAATTAATGCAGTTTGATACTACTGTAACTGACATGGCTAAATGCTATGAAATCATGGAAGTTATAGCTTGTTGAGACAGCAGCACTCTGTCACAGAAAGCTCTAAAGGCCTTGCAAAACTACAGCTCCTATGATTCCATAGCTTTGAGCCACGACATTTAATGTGGTGTCCAACTGCAATAAGCCTACAGTGTAGACGCAACCTGAGTTCCAGAACCTTTTCTAATAGATTATTAATTGTTTGGAAGTTACTGATAGGGTTTGAATCCACATTATTCCTATTCCTTTGGTACATGTCAAATCTGCATTTCAATATGCCCAGAATTATTCATAGTAATTGTATTTATATCTGGGGATATATATATATGAGAGAGAGAGAATGACTGGAGTGCATTATTTACCGGATATACATAAAATTATACATATATTGTTGAAATAGCATTTGAGGGTACTTGGGGAAAGATAACTGCCCAGCCTAGTCCAATATTTCATGTCAAATGTGTTTTGGATCCTTTGGCATAGCATTGCACATTGAATGTGTCTTCCCAATGGTTTGATTTTAATATAATACAATAATATAGATAGATACAGATATAGATATAGATCAGATATTATTGTTATTATTATCATATTTATTTATACCCCTCTTTATTTCTCCCGAAGGGGATTCAAAGAGGCTTTTTGTAGCTCTATTCCTTTTGGGTTTATTCTGATATTTACTCCATCTTCTGAGGAACTGGAAAGATGGTTAAAGCATCCTCCTGTGACTCCAACCTCATTACAGTGTATGTTATTTAACAGCACTGTTAAATACCAAGGTGCTTGTTTATAAAGCTATTGTCCTCCGAACCCTGCTATATGCCTGCAAAACGTGGACTGTCTACAGACGTCACATGCAACTYTTAGAACGATTCCATCAGTGCTGCCTCCGGAAAATTCTGAAAATCTCTTGGGAAGACAGGCGACAAATGTCAGCGTGCTGGAAGAAGCAAAGACCACCAGCACTGAAGCGATGGTCCTCCGCCATCAACTCCGCTGGACCGGCTATGTTGTCCGGATGCCTAACCACCGTCTCCCAAATCACTTGCTCTACTCTGAACTCAAGAATRGAAAACGGAATGTTGGAGGACAGGAAAAGAGATTTAAAGACGGGCTCAAAGCCAACCTTAAAAACTCTGGCACAGACACTGAGAACTGGGAAGCCCTGGCCTGTGAGTGCTCCAGCTGGAGGTCAGCTGTGACCAGCAGTGCTGCAGAATTTGAAGAGGCATGAATTGAGGGCGAAAGAGAGAAACGTGGCAAGAGGAAGGCGCGTCAAGCCAACCCCAACTGGAACCACCTTCCACCTGGAAACCAATGCCCTCACTGCGGGAGACGATGCAGATCAAGAATAGGGCTCCATAGTCACCTATGGACCCACCCTGGAGGATTATCCTACTTGGACAACGAGGGATCTCCTAAGTAAGTTAACAGCAAAATACATGCATTTTAGAGAAGCCCAAGGTTCTGACATTTTATCATTGTTTCACCAGCTCTGAGTGTATATGCACTACCATATTCAGAATAAAAATTCATCAAACTGACATTCTAGATTCCTTTGCATGATGGATTTTTGTGCATTTTGGTTGGCCCTCTTTTGTGGATTTTATTGTATTTTGCTGCATGGCCATTATAACTATCCCTGCATATATTCTTTAGATGGGTTGACCTCTCACATTAGGGCAGTTGTATCAGATTGTGATTGCTTCACAAACAAATCCATCTTCCCATTAATGTTATTAAGCAATGAATGGATTAATGCATGAAGATAGGTGTGCTGTAAGCACAATCTTGCTATTTATGCTCTTATTCTTGAAATATCCACGTGTTGTTTATGCTCCTTAAATAGCACGCCTGCTTAAGAGGCCATCCAGAGGGAGAGATCTGATTGCATCTGACCATAAGCAGGTAATTGCTTCTATTTACTATAGGATGGCATACAACGGAATGATCCCGCCCGCGCCATAGAAAACAGAAACATCGGCGAGCGTGATCCGTAAGGTTTAAACAGCCGCTGAGTCGAGCCTCCGCGCAAAGAGACGGGCGCAAAGACTCCTCCAGCCCTCGCTCCTGTTGTTTGCCGGGCCCGCCCGCCCCTCTCACCTGATGATATTATCCGCATAGGTAAGCAGCAAGCGGGAGGCCTCTAGAAACGTTTCTGTGGGATTCTGGCAGAGCTCGCTCACGGCTCGCGAAGGCAGCGGCGCGGAAGGTCCCAACGCGGCCGCCATCCTTCCGAAGCGGCGCTTGTGCTTGCCTACCAGTAAGGGAGAAAGTTCTATTTCGTTCTGCGCCCGCCCGCACTTAATTCCTGAGAAAGCTGACTCAGGCCAGCCGACTCCAAGCCGGAGCTCCCCCTCCCGTTCAGGAACTCAGGGGAGGAGGGCGGGGCAGCGCGTGCGACAGGAGGCCTCCATGTTGGGAGTGGGTGGCGCGCATGCGCAGCAGTAAGAAATCCACCTTTGGCCTTTGTACAGGTTGGGGCGCCTCTTATCCGAAATGGTTGGGACCAGGAACGCTTGGGGTCCGGGAGTCTTTCGGATTTCGGAATATTTGCATATACATGACAAGATATGAAGATGGGACCTAAATCTAATCATTTATGTTTCATATATTCCTTATGGTTGTGATTTTAGACAAGGCTTGTGTACATTGAGGCATCAGAAGACAAAGGTGTCACTGTCTCAGCCACACAATTTTGACTTTTTGGAGCACAGACTCAGGGCCCTTGCAGACAGACACTATATGCCAGGATCTGATCCCAGGTTTCCTGCTTTAAATTGGATTATATCAGTCCCCACTGCAAGATAATCTGGGATAAACATAATTGTATTTATTTATTTAGAGCTTTTATAACCCGGTCTTCTCGACCTCCGAAGAGGGACTCAGACCGGCTCACAACAAAAGATTCATAGACAATAGTATAAAAACATCACAACCTCATAATACACTAATCCATAAAATACATTAAAATACAATCATATAATTACATAAGGCCAAGTCGTCAGAATGAAATCACAATTCATCACCATCCGTCAGTGTGGTCAAGAGTTATTGACTCACTCATCAAATGCCATATTCCAAAGCCAAGATTTCACCAGCTTTCTAAAAGTCAGGAGAGATGGGGCAGATCTAATCTCCAGTGGGAGAGAGTTCCAGAGCCGAGGGGCCACCACCGAGAAGGCCCTGTCCCTCATCCCCACCACATCCCCACCAGAAAATCTGGGTCACATCCTGGGATATAGTGTCTATCTGCAAGGGCCCTGAGTCTGTGCTTCAAAAATTCAAAATTGTGTGGCTGAGTCAGTGACACCTTTGTCTTCTGATGGCTCAATGTACACAATCCTTGTCTAAAATTACAGAAAACCTGCAATCAGATCGTGGGATATAGGGCCTGGGTCATAGTATGAAAGCTGAGTCTGGAAGCTCTTAAGCCAGTGGTTCTTAACCTTCTGAATGCCGCAACCCCTTAATACAGTTCCTCATGTTGTGGTGACCCCCAACCATAAAATTACTTCTGTTGCTACTTCATAACTGTAATTTTGCTATGTTATGACTCATAATGTAAATATCTGATATGCAGGATGTATTTTCATTCACTGGACCAAATTGGGCACAAATACCTGATACGCCTAAATTTGAATACTAGTGGAATTTGTTTTGTCATTTGGGAGTTGTAGTTACTGGGATTTATAGTTAACCTACAATCAAAGAGTATTCTGAACTCCACCAACGATAGAACTGGGCCAAACTTGGCACACAGAACCCCCATACTAACAGAAAATACTGTGTTTTCTGGTGGTCTTTGGTGACCCCTCTGATGACCCCTCGCAACCCCCCAAGGGGTCCCAACCCCCAGGTTGAGAAACGCTGCTTTAAGCGTTACTCTGTTTCCTCTTCGCTCCTTCGGGAGCACTGTTTGTGCAACACAGAATGGAACACAAATATTATAGAAGGAATGTAAGAGTTCTTTGATGGTAAAACGCTAGTCCTTTCCCGAACCCTTACCCTAAGCCTAACCTATAACCCTAATTCAACCCAAACCCTAAGTCTAACCCTTACCCTACCCCTAGACATGGAGAACTGGTGGCCTACTAGATCAGTGGTCCCCAGATGTTTTGGCCTTCAACTCCCAGAAATCCTAACAGCTGATAAACTGGCTGGGATTTCTGGGAGTTGTAGGCCAAAACACTGGGGACCCCCAGGTTGAGAACCACTGCTCTAAACCTTATCCTAACCCTCCCCTCTTTTCTATCCTTTCACCAAATGCAACTACGAAGAATATTCTCCTCTTCCCTTATTCACAACCACCATTGCGGAATTTGCATAAAGCTCAGAGCTTCCGGCTCACAGCTATCATACTATCACCAGGGCCTGTCTGGAAGGACCTTCAGTTAATCAGCATCCATGACAGATACATTTAGTTTCTGTTTGCTGGAGAGTTACTATTCAAAATAGGCCAGACTAATAGTATATCCGATACTATATCATGCCATAAACTGTATTGCCTTGAAAATATTATTGGAAAAAAAACATAATTAAAAGCAAATAATGTAGCATAGTTTTAACAATATGGAGCTCCCCAGCAGCACAATGGGTTAAACCCTTGTGTCGGCAGGACTGAAGACTGACAGGTCGCAGGTTCGAATCTGGGGAGAGTGCGGATGAGTTCCCTCTGTCAGCTCCGACACACCATGCAGGGACATGAGAGAAACCTCCCATAAGCATGGTAAAACATCAAAACATCTGGGCATCCCCTGGGCAACGTCCTTGCAGACGGCCTATTCTCTCACACCCAATTAAACCCACATGTAAAACCAAATTATAACATAACCTAAAATTAAATTTAAATTATGTTTAGCATAAAAACATGAACCTTAATTTATGTTTTAAAAACCAAGTTTCAATTGCAGTTACATTATATTTAAATATGTCACTGTGCATTATGTTTTGAAGGAATGAAGCGAGGGGGCCATTTTTATCTCTTTAGGGAGGGCATTCCAGAGGTGGGGCGCAATCACGGAGAAGGCCCTCTCTCTCGTTCCTACCCGTCGTACTTGGGGTGGGGGTGGGACCAAGATTAGGGCTTCCTCTGCTGACCGCAATGTCCGAGTTGGTTTATAAGTCCATGATGACCAAACCACATGATTCCAAACATCATTTTCATATGGTAGTAATGATAGCTCTGACTGACACACACACACATTAGAAAGGTAAATTAGAAGAGTTGTAGCTCTATTGATACAGTGGAGCCATTCCACCCATTTTACATAAATGGCATCTTTTTACTATGCCGTTGTATATAATGGATCTTAGAGCATTCACAAATTTTGGTATCCATGAAGGGTTTTGGAACCAAACCCCAGCTACACATGTTAACTGAAATTACAAGAAATTGTTTTGTGGTTATATCTAAGTATAGACATATTTTTTTTATTAAAAACACAGCATGTGTACACAGTCATTTTAGTGACATCCCCTCTGATGGTGTCACCCAGTATGGCTCGCACCACCTAATAATTTTGTCACAGAATTGTATACGATTTCCGAACAGACATTTTTTTTCCTCCCCTCTGAAATTACCATTACATTTTCTGCACAGTTAGATAACACAGATTGAGGTCATTTTAAAAGTCTTGCTTGTCAGAACTCTTACTCAGCTAAAATAAGCAATAACTATAAAGGCTGCATTCCTGTGCACATTTGACATTCAGCCGTTTGCCTCAACGCAGTACCTTTTGACACTGAAAATATTGACTGAGGTTGATGGGAGCAGCAATACACAACGTGTGGGAAACAATTTTGAGGGAAAAGTTGTCAAGGAATAAATCCCTCTGAATTCCAGAAGTTAATTCCAAACAAATATTTATGTAACCTGGTTGTATAGCCCATTGAAAGCCTTTTCACTTTTACTGGAACTAGCAGCGTAATTTTGTGCAAATTTGATCAGTAAGTCTTGTATTTAATATCAGCTGTCAGAATTTAAGACACAACTGAAGACCCTTCTCTTTGGGCAGGCCTACCCGGTCAATTTGAAGTTGTGAATTTTAATCTGCAATTAATTAGTGGATTTTGACTTGTATTTTAATTCTGTGTGTCTTGTTGTATGTCTTTTGATAGTGTTTTATCTCTTGTTTTCATGATGTTGTATCCTGCTTCAAGCTGCAGGGAGAGGCAGGTAATACATTCAGCATTATTATCACCATCATCATCATAATTAATAATATGGCTTACTCATTAGTGAATGGCTTCAGAATTGCAGACTAAGGACTTGTCTGTAATAGTCAAACAGACTCATCTCAGATAGAATACCGCCTGCCTTCTGATGCACAGCTATGTCTGGTGAATATCCCATGTTTGGGGGTTTAAAACAGCTTTGCTCCACTTCACTGGAAGCTCTGAAGTGGCTTTAGGGCAATCTGGACAGTTGGATCAGGCCTATTCACCCTGATCTGCTGTCCACATGGGACAGCAGCATCCTGTCTTTATACCCATCAGCCCAAGAACAGGGGATGGAACATGGCCATGTTGCCACCATTCCTACCTGGCCACTGACTTATGCAATCCCATCATGGCCAAAGTTTGTTAATGAGAAAGAAAACACACACTAAGAGAGGCTGTAGTGGTTTGCTTTTGGCAGAGTCTACAGAGAAGGGCAGTATTATTCCTCACTTTCCCCCCATCTGCATTAATTAAATAAGAACCGCTTTTGCACTTTGAACTCAGTCTATAGCAACTGAATACAAAGGGGGAAAGTGGAAGGAGGATTAGAAAATGGGGCATTTTACTTTAAAATATTGAATAAAATTACCCTCATGCTCTGTGTGTAAGATATATGTGAGATTTATATGAATTTCTTGTTCAGATTCGTCTCCCATCTCCAAGATATCACATTATATATTTATATTTATTTATTTACTGTATTTGTATACCTCCTTTCGCAGCCTGTCGGCGACTCATGTATATATGTATTATATATGCAAATACAGGTATTCCAAAATCCAAAGCACTTCTGGTCTTAAGCATTTTGGGTAAGCGATACTAAACCTGTAGAGATTAGTTTACTGGATTGGGCTCAAAATGTTTCCAACTCTGCTCTCATTGCTAGATGATATTCCATGTGATACAGTTAGAACACAAAGTATTTTGGTATGTTTGTTATATAGTATCAAATGGATAAATATATTTGCTCTCTACTCTCCTCCTCCCAAATGAATGCGATGTCATTTATTTGATTTATCTCCCTCTTTTATTCCCTCAGATCCCCTGGTATGTTTTTCCACAGCATTTTTTTAAAATAGGTGAAATACGCTAGACTCTAAATAAACACACACCTACATCTGAACTGGTCTTTTCATTTCTTTTTCTCAGAGACCAGGATTGAGTAATTGCTGTTAAAGGTAAGGGCACCTTGAGAAGAAGTTTATAGTATTGCACAGGAATCTGTTGAAAGGAAAACCACAATCCTTCAAGGCATGTTCAGGTAGCTCTGAAGTGATTCTGTCCCCTTGGCAATAGAAAAGGAAAGGAAGATTAGAAAGTTCATGGGCAAATCAAATCAAATAATCCAAGCTCCAGGCTAATCTACACTAAACAATTTAGTCCAATTGAGTTGCTGGTTAAAATGTAATTTCTCCTTGACACAACTTTAATTAACAGATATTGTGCCTGAAGATTTTACCTATAACAGTTTGGAGTGGGGAGGTTGATCTACCTAGGGTATAACATTATTTGAAGAGTGTAAAAGGATATTTAACACCATTACTTTTTGATTGTGAGTTATATTTATTGTTTACTTCTAAACATTATTTTAGAGCAGGGCTTCTTAAACTTTTTTCCACTTGCTATCCCCATTCAGGCCAAGAAATGTTTACATCTCCCCCAGTAGATAAAAACCAAATATTTACTGATAATAAATCAGTAAATCAGCTTAACTGGCTGATTTTCCTTTTTGTGGAGTAAAGCTGAAGCATTTTTCTAACCACTACTTTTATTTATTTCGTGTCAAAAGCATTGCATAAATAAATAAGTTTTAAGCAGATAAAATAAAAGGATCACAGGAAGCTAAATAGTTTTTGACCAAAAACGAGCAATAGTGACCGCATTGTCTGTAAAATAGTTCTTCTCTGCATGAGGCAGGGTAGTGTAGGCAAGCATACAGATGCCGAATTGTTTGTTCTGCTCCACAGTTGAACAAGGTGGAGGATTCTTCTATGTAGTGCTATTTTGCCAGGCAGTCTTTTGATCTGCCCACTCCATTTTTGAGTTTGTTCAAGGACTTCCAAGTTGCCCATTCTTTGTTTGCCCCTGGAGGAAAATCAAGGGGTTTCCTCCACTGTAGCCACCACTGTAAAAACTGCATGTTGTTGCTAACGGATTTGTGTAAATGGGTGGCGTTCAGAAACCTTCACTGTTGCTAAATTTTTCAGAACCCCAACCTTGAGCTAAAGGGATCCCATTTGGGGTCAGGACTCACAGTTTAAGAAGCAGTGTTTTAGAGGGACAATTAGGACTGTATTTTTCAGCATAAAGTATGTTTTTTGTAAAAGATACCAAAAAGAAAAGCTACAGGAATCTACAGTATTTATAAATCTATAGCAAGTAATATGATACCTTTCCAAATCTTGGCATTCATCGTGTTCTGCTATTTATTTAAATGTTCCGCTTTGATTTACTTTATATTGATTTACTTTATATACTTTATATTATAGACCAACAGGGTCCATTGGTATTCTATTCCAGGTGTTTATTCCAGAACAACAGGTATTCTGGTCCAAAGAAGCAACTTTCAAATAACCCGGTTAGTTAGTATAAAGTAAAGCATAACATTGGACGGGCCTTTTATGGAACTGAAACTGGATGCTTATGTGCATTTTAATTCACATATATTGACATACCCCTGATTCAGATGTGGCTCATGGGCCCAGTTTGGGGGTATGTAAATATTTGATTAATTTGCCACTGTGGACACTAGACTATAAAACGGTACTCTATTTCTAGTATCAAATTTCAACCAGGAATTATTTAATGAGGAAGAACTTCCTGACTGTGAGAGCCGTTCAGCAGTGGAACTCTCTGCCCTGGAGTGTGGTGGAGGCTCCTTCTTTGGAAGCTTTTAAACAGAGGCTGCCTGGCCATCTGTCAGGGGTGATTTGAATGCAATATTCCTGCTTCTTGGCAGGGGGTTGGACTGGATGGCCCATGAGGTCTCTTCCAACTCTTTGATTCTATGATTCTAATTGGAATACAAGTATAAATTAGAAATTAATTGTAATCAAACTTATGTATCATTTGTGTTTCTCATCAGTAGATTCCATTTCAGTCATAATAATTGAATTGATTTTATGTTGCTAATATGACATCTTTTTCTGTGCCCAAAATGATGGAAGAACAATAATACAGCCACTAGGGCTTTATAACAGGCCCATAGATGAAAGCTTGTAAATATATAAATACATTGTTGGGTTTGTTTTTGTCCTCTAGGATTGCTGCAGTCATGCATCTCCATTGTGCAAAAGACTTATTAAAAACTGCATGCTTCAGCCTTCATGGTATTCAAACACATTGGCCTTTAAGAATAATTAAAAGGTTTTTGACTAGTGGCACAGTACTTCGTGATCGAAGGAGAGTGGTTGTCACAGGTATAGGATTAGTGTCTCCACTTGGTGTGGGTGCCCAGTTGGTATGGAACAATCTACTCCAGGGAAATTGTGGGATTATTGCTCTTGAAGAGGAAGCATACTCCACTGTTCCATGTAAAGTGGCTGCTTGTGTCCCAAAGGGAGCCGGTAAAGGTGAATTCCACGAAGAAAGCTATGTGTCGAAGTCAGAAAGCAAAGGTATGTCTTCTGCCACTGTCATGGCCATAGGTGCTGCTGATCTGGCATTGAAAGACTCCGGCTGGCATCCACAGTCAGACCTGGATTGTTTACATGCTGGTGTGGCAATAGGGATGGGAATGGTTCCACTGGAGGAGATTTCCAATACAGCCTTGACGTTCAAAACAAAAGGTTACAACAAAGTCAGCCCATTCTTTGTGCCAAAGATCTTGGTCAACATGGCAGCAGGCCATATTAGTATCAAGCACCAACTGAAAGGACCCAACCATGCTGTATCGACTGCTTGTACTACAGGAGCACATGCTGTGGGAGATGCCTTTCGATTTGTAGCCTATGGCGATGCTGATGTCATGTTGGCTGGAGGAACAGAGGCTTGCATTAGCCCATTGTCTCTCGCTGGATTTGCTAGAGCTAGAGCCCTGAGCACTAGTTTCAACTCAAGCCCCAAACTGGCTTGTCGGCCATTCCATTCCCTGAGAGAAGGCTTTGTCATGGGAGAAGGTGCCGCGGTTTTGGTTCTGGAAGAATATCAGCATGCCTTACAAAGGAGAGCTAAAATATATGCCGAGATTTTAGGCTATGGACTCTCAGGAGATGCTTGCCACATAACAGCTCCTAATCCAGATGGAGATGGTGCCTTCAGGTAAAAACCTTCAATGTGTAAATAATTATGAGCTATTTTCTATGCATTTTAATTCAATCTTTGTTTTTAATGTTTTAGTCCCCACCCAAGTTTAAAAGCTATCGTACAGTACAGAGCTCCTGATGAAATTATGTTTGGGGTAGTTTAAGATCTCTGTCCAATGGAAATTGCCACTTGCTTTCTGATGGGGAAAATGTGACTTCTCCATCTAATCTTCCAGAAAAGATTATTATGAGGATAAATGAGTTCCAAATTTGAAAACAGACTGTATCTACGAAGTCTCAAAATTATAAATAAAATTATAGGAAAATGTTAAACGAATCTCCCTTATACTCTTTTAGTACAAAAGTAGTTTACCTACCTGGAATTGGACAGTGTTTACCTTTAGTTATTAGATATGCTTGTTGAGCTTCAAAAAGCGCTTGTTGAAATACTCTCTTTCAGTTTAAGTACTGTAAGTAACACAGCAGAACATTCAAGATAATTAATGTCTTCAGCTCATTAGGACTGAATTTTCCACTTCAGTGTTAGCTTGGCAATAGATTCTTTGGAATATTTCAATTAATGTGACTATCATGCAAAGCAAATGCATTTATTCCTGCTTTAAAGATGTAACCTTTCTTTTTTACTTTGTATCTTGTGAAACTGTGTGTAGTGTACAGCGCATTCATAATAGTATTTTGCCTTTAATGTTTATCCATTTTCATCCCAGTATACAAATCTAAGTAAGTCCTGTGATAGAAGAGAAGATTACTTCCTTTCTTTTTCTCACTTAGATGTATGTCTGCAGCAATCAAAGATGCTGGAATATGCCCAGAAGATGTCACATACATCAATGCTCATGCCACCTCCACTCCACTAGGAGATGCTGCGGAGAATCAAGCTATTAAAAGACTCTTCAAAGAACATGCCTATTCTCTTGCTGTCTCCTCAACAAAGGGAGCAACAGGTCATCTTTTGGGTGCTGCAGGAGCTATCGAAGCAGCTTTTACTGTTTTAGCTTGTTACCATGGGATTTTGCCACCTACTCTAAATCTGGATCAAACCGAGCCACCATTTGACCTCAATTATGTTCCCCTCGTACCCCAAGAATGGAGAAATGAAAAATGCCGTATTGGTCTCAGTAATTCTTTTGGATTTGGAGGAACAAATGCAACATTATGTTTTGCTAATATTTAGCTTCATCTATCAGTATATGTAGCTGTTCCAAAAACATTTCTCATACTAATGGCTTGTATTTATGTATGTATATGATAAACCTCCATGTTGATGTTGCCCCTCATTTATTGATGTTCTTGGTTCTGATTTGTGTAATATGTTGTTCTTAAAGCGGTTTGCATTCAGAGTACTTCCAAAATACTAAATTATGTGATGTTTAATCTTCTTTATTCTACTGATCAATGTTTTAGTTGACAGACATATCTGCCAAATTCAATTATGGAACCGTATCTACAGAAAGGGTCTATAACGACATGACTTTGTTGGTACATTGGCCAAGTGCCCAGTCTACATTAGCAAGTATACTCTTCAACTAATTTGAATACTTGTTGACTTATTGTCCTTCTCCTGGAACTTGTATAGCAATAATTCCATCATAAGTGGGCATAGTAGCCAAGCACGAGAAAAAAATAATCAAAGGCTAAGTTAAATTTTAGGAAAATGAAGAGCTGGTGTAAGGAGTGCCAATAGAGTGTTGTGAATTGAATGCTTGATTAGGAGACTAGAGTTTGAATTCATTCTTAGTCATGGAATCCTACTGAGTGTTCCTTGGCAAATCACACTCTCAGCCTCAGAGAAAGGCAAGGCTAAACCCCCTTTGAACAAATTCTGCCAAGAAAGCCCTATGATAGATTTAGTTTAGGGTCGCCACAACTCAGAAATGACTTCAAGGCTTGCTACAGGAACATTACAGCATATTGTTATATCTTTGCTTAAGTACTCAGTATTGAAGAGCTGGATCCTTTTACATTTGTATAATAATAATAATAATAATAATAATAATAATAATAATAATAATAGAATAGTATGAAATGGTGTAAAGTATGGGTTGTTGTGGGTTTTTTGGGCTATAAGGCCATGTTCTAGAAGCATTCTCTCCTGATGTTTCACCTGCATCTATGGCAGGCCTTCTATAGATGCAGGTGAAACGTCAGGAGAGAATGCTTCTAGAACATGGCAATATAGCCCAAAAACCTACAACAACCCAGTGATTCCAGCCATGAAAGTCTTCGACAATACAGTATAAGGTATTTTCTCTTCTAAAGTGACTTAGTTAAGATGGCCCATCACCATTTTCCTCTCCCATTTATATGTGGCATACAGTGTTGATTTGCATAAGGAAGAATGAATGGTGCTATCCATTTGTGGTCTTCTTTTGCTCCTCAAGGCTAATCTAGCCTTTCCTGTTTCTTGTGTTCCTGCTGAATTATTTTATTTTCCATCCCAAGCCAAGGGGCAGAAGATATTGCTGTTATTAAAAGTTCAAGATCATATGTGAGCAGTTGTGGGCCTCAAGGCACTGGAGAGCATCTTCCATGATCCTTTACTGCTGACTGTTTTCTGGGGCTAATATAGTCCATTAACAGCTGGTGAGTCACAACTGCCTGATAAAGTGAGAAGGAGGATTGTTATAAACAAGTAATGACCCTTAAACTATTGAAATCAGAACTTTAAAATGCTTCTGTTTCTAAAGTATTAAAATTTAGACCACAATATGCATATTCCACAAATAATTCCATATTACAAACAGTATTAATTTTGACAGTGGGAAAAGAAATACAGATGCTGGAAAATTTTATTTTCAAAATGCCATGGTAAGAGCATGACTCAAAGAAATGGAAAAATAATTTATTTCAACTGTTTTGAGTTAGTGTGTCTAATTATGCAAATTATCCTTACCTAAAAGTAATGTTGTTCAGAACATCAAAGAAATACATGGTGGTCATATGCTTTTCCTGCCAAACTCAGCTTTTTGCTAAAAACAGCAATGTATGGTGCATTGCAGATTGTTACCTACTCACCATTACTGATAGTTTAACCATCTTCCTCTTTCTTTCTTTGTAATTCAAGTGTGGGTCGAAGTTCAGTTAAATCATTTGCTTCCAAATAATTTGTATTTATGATTAGACAAGAGGCAGGACTTGTATGATACTACAGAAAATAAAATAAAACAAAATGCCATTTTTTAAATTAAAAAATGGACAAAGTGTGATTTTTCCTACATCAATGTACCAGAACTCTCATTAGCATGAGTGAGTGCATAGCTAATGGTATGGGGAATTGCAGTCCAGCAACACCCAGAGTCCAACAAGTTGCTTTGAATTTAATACACAAAAATGTGAAGAGTATATTCTTGTAAGTGTCCAAATATGTACTTCTTGTGCACCAAAGTGAGTGTAAGTAGTTTCTGCGTATGAGCTCCTTAAATAGTTTAATCAGTAGGGAGACCTGGACTTTGCATTGTCTGGGTGCTGTCACAATTTGCTTATTGTCTGTCATTGTTTGAAAGATACAGTAAAAGTTTTTGTGAAGTTGCCTGACCTGTGTGAGAGAGAGTTCCCCTCTGGACATTTTTGATCTATCTTGAAACATCTATCAAAGACATCATTACTGTGTCACTGTTAAAGTTTGTAAATTTGCTTAGGCAAACTATGATGGAGCATTGTGTAACTTAATATCTTCTCCTGTGGTGTCTTTTCAGACATAGGATAGGATTCTGTTTGGGTATTATACACATAAAAATAATGGTGTGTGTGGTTGTACTTTTTCAGAGGCAAAGAAGGTATGGTTCCTGGTGCCCTTAAGGCTAGCATACCCTGAGCTTTCTCTCTTTAACCTTTGACTTGGAAAATGGAGAGCTATATAACTGCTAAATATTGGTTGCTCTCAAGGCCCTACTGTCTGCTATACAAATGTGGGATCCAATGTAATCATGTTGTATATTTACTGTCCTTAGTGCTGTGATTGGAGACAGCAAAGCCTAGAGAAGACAATTATGCTGGGGAAAGTGGAAGGCAAAAGGAAGAGGGGCCGACCAAGGGCAAGATGGATGGATGGCATCCTTGAAGTGACTGGACTGACCTTGAAGGAGCTGGGGGTGGTGACGGCCAACAGGGAGCTCTGGCATGGGCTGGTCCATCAGGTCACGAAGAGTCGGAGACGACTGAACGAATGAACAACAACAAGTGCTGTGATTGGAAGTGCATGTGTGCAGCAGCCAACAATCCTGATTAAGGGGTATAGACATCAAGGGCTAAAGAAGCAACACTATATTTTTTGTAAAAATTCTGTTGAAAATAGGAAAACTGTCAAAGGGAGCTAAGTTGACAGAACACTAAGCTAAGTTAACTTTTAGTAGAAGAGAGAGAATAAAGGATGAGAAGTGGAAAGATACCTCAGAGTATCAGTTTTACATCTCAGAGAGATTAGGTTAGGTGGATAAGAGATGATGCTGTAAATTACTATAACCTGCTTAAGCCTATCGCTGTTGCTCTCATAGAATCATAGAATCAAAGAGTTGGAAGAGACCTCATGGGCCATCCAGTCCAACTCCCTGCCAAGAAGCAGGAAAATTGCATTCAAAGCACCCCTGACAGATGGCCATCCAGCCTCTGTTTAAAAGCTTCCAAAGAAGGAGCCTCCACCACACTCCGGGGCAGAGAGTTCCACTGCTGAACGGCTCTCACAGTCAGGAAGTTCTTCCTCATGTTCAGATGGAATCTCCTCTCTTGTAGTTTGAAGCCGTTGTTCCGCGTCCTAGTCTCCAAGGAAGCAGAAAACAAGCTTGCTCCCTCCTCCCTGTGGCTTCCTCTCACATATTTATACATGGCTATCATATCTCCTCTCAGCCTTCTCTTCTTCAGGCTAAACATGCCCAGTCTAAGCCGCTCCTCATAGGGCTTGTTCTCCAGACCCTTGATCATTTTAGTCGCCCTCCTCTGGACACATTCCAGCTTGTCAATATCTCTCTTGAATTGTGGTGCCCAGAATTGGACACAATATTCCAGATGTGGTCTAACCAAAGCAGAATAGAGGGGAAGACAGCTTCCATTTTAAAAGTGCTAAGCATTTTTGCAATTTTAACATGATGAGCATTGGGTTTCATAAAATAAATTAGAAAGAGAGGGGGAGAAAAAATAAATGTGGCAGTGCTACTACTACTACTACCAATAATAATAATAATAATAATACCATCTGCCTGTGACAAAGAACTGGTGGGCTCACAAGCCTGAAAAAGTTACAGAAAATGAACCCATTAAACTACTCTGGGACTTCCGAATTCAGACTGACAAGAGTTTTGGAGCACAATACTCCTGATCTTACGATCACGTTAAAAAATCAAGTATGGATCGTCGATGTTACAATCCCAGGCGGCAGCAGGATTGAAGAGAAACAACTGGAAAAGCTGACACGATACAAGGATGTAAAGATCGAACTGCAAAGACACTGGCACAAGCCAGTAAATGTCCCAGTGGTGACTGGCACACAGGGTGCAGTGCCTAAAGACCTTGGCCTGCACTTAAACACAATCGGTGCTGACAAAATTACCATCTGTCAGCTGCAAAAGGCCACCCTACTTGGAGCTGCAAACATTATTCATCCCTACTTCACACAGTCCTAGACACTTGGGAAGTGTTTGATGTGTGATCCAATACAACAGCCAGCATAGTGTCCTTGTTTTCTATGGACTCATCTTGTAATGTTTCAAATAATAAAAATATAATAATAATAATAATAATAATAATAATAATAATAATAATAATAGCATCTACTACTGACTAATAAGAAAAAAATTGATGCTACGTATAATAATAATAGTAGTAGTAGTAGTAGTAGTAGTAATAATAATAATAATAATAATAATAATAATAATAATAATATACGAAAGCTGACTGGCACAACCTGGGGATCACAACCAGACACAGTGAATACATCTGCCTTTGCACTTTGCTACTCTGCTGCTGAATATGCATGCCAAGTGTGAAATATATCTCACCCTAAAACAGTGGATGTGGGTGTTTATGAGCCATTTCACATTATCACAGAATGTCTATGCCCCACACTACTGGAGAAATTATACTGTTTAGCCAGTATTGCACCACCTGACATCCATCAGGAAGTAGCAGCCAATAATGAAAGGACCAAGGTAGTGACATCTCTGGCCCATCCTCTATTTGGATATCAGCCAGTATGCCAACGCATTAAATCAAGAAACAGCTTCCTAATATCTACAGAGATACTCGCAGGAACACCTTAGCAAGCGATAGTCCAAAAGTGGCAGGCTAAAACCCAAAACCTCAATCAGTGGCTGATACCGGATGAGAGACTCCCCCCAAGCACACAGAAGACTGGGTGACTTGGAAGGTGCTGAACAAACTGCTCTCTGGGACCACCAGATGCAGAGCCAATCTTAAGAAATGGAGCTACAAATTGGAATCCATGAGATGCAAGTGTGGAGAAGAGTAAACCACAGACCACTTACTACAATGCAGCCTGAACCCTGCCACATGCACAATGGAGGACCTTCTTATAGCAGCACTAGAGGCACTCTTAAGTGGTCAGGTTCTGGTCAAAGAACATTTAGTATAATGCCAAGTTTTTAACTTTGTGTTTTTAAATACATTTTAACTGTACCCTCAATTTGCTTCTAACACCATAAATAAATAAATGGCATCTACTTAGCACAAGTTCTTGTGGATACAAACCCTCTTCATTGGAAGCCTCGGAACTAAAGTATATTTACATGTTACCATATTTCTGGATCTATCCCACTTCCACAATCGTATAAATACAGCCAGTCATTCTTATCTATGGAATCAACCACCCATGGCTTGAAAATATCTTTAAAAATCCCCAAACAAACCTTGATTTTGTCATTTATACAAGGGATGCCTTTTTACTATGCTATCGTATATAATGAAATCTGAGCATGTATGGATGATGGTGTCCATGGGTGAACTTGAAACCAAACAACAGTGGATAGTAAGGGCCCGCAATATGCTTTGTATCGGAGACCTTCCAAATGCATCTAAAACCAGGGGGTTTACGGTTTATATCCATAAAACTCAAGCTAAAATAATAACCAGTTAGTCTAATAAGTGCTTCTCGTATCTCCTGCCCACTTTTATGCTGCAATACGTACTTATTTAAAACTACCACTGTAGGCTTCATTTATATGGAACAGTGCTTATTTGACTTATGCACTGACCAGATTAAGAAAGACCAAGAAGTATCTGAAATATGATTGACAATTCATAAGCTTGCATCTTCTTAAAATTTATTAAATGTGGAGTGTACTTATCTCAACACTTAGGGCTTTCCCCCAAAATACAAAATTTACTTTTTATTATAAATTATATCTAAGCTTTTATGAAACTTTCCTCTAAAATTTTTCCCAATATCAAGAGTATTGGATTTCAAAATTGGGAACAACACAATGGCTAAGTTGTGAATAATTTTTATTTTTTAATGCTGGAAGCAATTACCCATGTAATGTTGCAAGGATTAAATTCTCATATTTTATGTTGCTTGCTTACATTACATACTGGAACAAGAAGCTTTTTTCTTTTGCTGCCTGCATACCAAATAGCAGGGCAGAGAGAAATGAGGAGGGGGAAAATCACTTCTGTTTTAGAAAGATTTAGGCTGTTTCAACAGCTGTGCTTGTTTAGAGCAAACCAATCCAATAGAAATGACAATATGGATTCTAAAATAATGATCCAAAAAGCAGTGTATATTGATGGGGATAATGAAACCATCAGAGTCCCTTTCAGGGAGAGAAGGCAGATTAAAAATAAAGTTTATTATTAAAGTTTATTATTATCTATTGATTTGAACAAACCTGATTGATACAACAATAAGAAAGAAAAAGGAAGTATATATTCCATGATTTAGAACATGATAATTTAGAATCACTGTTCTGTAGTGGTGAGAGGGTTTTCTAGATCATAAGGGGCTGAGATTCAAATCCTCATACCGCCCTAAAATTCATGAAGACCTTTTGTTGTTGCTTTGGTCCCTCTAGGAAGGATTTTCATCATGTTTTGGGATCTCCAAGGACTTTTTAGACCCACAAGAGGGCTTTTAAAAAAGAACCAAGCTTTGCCTAAAAATGCTTAGGCGGCTGGGGTGGTGGTGGTGAAAAATTTGGACAACCCCCCAGACCACCTACAGTGCATTTTGTAACAAAAATGTTATT